TCTGAGGTGGAAGCGTTTATTTGGGCAATGGAGAGTATGAGGAATTTACGACAATATCACGTTACGTTTGCAACAGACTGTTCTCAGTTGGTGAAGATGGTTTCCGAACCAGACGAGTGGCCAGCCTTTGCAAATTATCTGGAAGATATCAAGACGCTTAAAGGGAGTTTCCACAGCTCGACAATCATCTATGTACCAAGGACACTTAATTCACATGCGGACAGTCTAGCACGCAGTGCGAGAAAACAATCGTCTTTCGTTGTTCACATGGATACAGAGCTACCAGCTTGGTTCGCAGAGTCCATATGAGTCTGTTTGTTGATGTCAAAAAAAAAAAAATTTTATTTTGACAAAACCATCTCCATCCAAATGATCCAAATTGATCCATTCAAATAGACTTTAAAATTAAGCCTATAATTTCAAAAGTCATTCAGATGAGCCATCTAAGTGATTTGTATTTCTAATGTCTAAACGAACAAAACTCTCATCTCCATGTAGATGGTTCATCTGAATGGAGAAACGAACAGCCCCTTAAATGTTCTTAACTCTCAAGTCAAGTGAGTTTTGGTTTTGAAAAAAATGTAGCAATGATTGAACACATCTTGACTGCAATTGTGGTTTAAATACATATCTTAGCATATTTGCAGAAAACTTTGAAACTGAAAAAGCAAACTTTGAACAAAGCTTGAAAACTTGGAAAAGAAAATAAAAAGCTATAAGGTAAAGAGGACTTCATAGATTAAAAGCTCGCGTCGTGAACAAATGTCTAGAGAGGACTTCTAAAGTGTTCTTTTAGCGAATGCCAAATGTCTCATCTAGCTTAGACCATCCGATAAAACACAGAACTTAAAGTGTTCAAAAACAATAACAGAAAGTCATTCTTCTAGTAATGTAATTACATATCTTTTAGCATATTTTGCAGAACTATGAAACAGAAAATGCCAAACGTTGAACAAAGCAAACGTACTATGAAGGAAAACTTAAAAATTTATAAGGAAAGAAGAGACTGCACAGAAGCAAAGACCAAAGCTTGGATCCATTCCTTATGTATGGTAGTCCTCATGAGTAATAGGTCCGGGGAAGATCTCAATGGTATCACCATGAGCTACTCGGTTCCATTGGAAGGACTTATCCTCTTCCAAGACTCTCTGTTTGTTAATAAAGATATACCCTTTAGCAGGTAGATCTATAGGATACTTCCGTTGCCTCGTCTCCAGATCTTTCCTCAGCTCTTCAACGTTATCACTCGCGTTCACCTCCACCAGAAACTTACTGCCATGTTTACCATACGGCGTCACGATGATTACTCTCATCAGATTCTGTGGAGACTTCTCGGCTTGAAACACTTTACTCATGCTCCCAACCCTCACAGGAAAATCTTGAGTGTTGATCCTCTCTTTTGTTGAGTTTGACTGTACTGGAAAGACTTGGTTCTTGTTGATGATCTCTTCTGATTTTCTCGAAGGCCAGTAACTTTGAATCTTAGTTAGATCCCCATCGAACGAGAAGTCTCCGAATGTATTTGACGGAAAAGATGGCTCCATTTGCAGCAAATCTTGATTCTTGCGGTTTCCACCCGACGATTCTTGAACGTTGACGACTTCTTCTCCGGTTGTCTCAGGCCAGAAACCTTGCAGTTTTCTGATATCTTGGTCTGTCCAAGGCTCTGGAGCTCTTTCAAGAAACTCGTCCATTGAAAATGAATCACGTACAGATTCTTTACTTGCATGTGACGGTGTCACTGAAGATATCTGCGTTCGATGGATCACCTTATTCCTCATCGACATCATTCCCAAATCTTGATTAGTAAAAGATCCTGCATGTGACCGTGGCACTTGATTGTAGTTGCTCCTCGCCATGGATGGGAAGAGCCCTTGAACTGCATACGGAGATTGATGGAGCTTCTGGTTGTTGACGTGACCGTCACGTAATATGAGGATGAGGTGAGAGTTGTTGACGATGCGATATGTTGCGAGTTGATGGTGATCTACAACAAGTTCGACGCCTTTGAAGAAGAGCTTTTGCATGGAAACAGGGATACCTTGAGACATCTCGATCTGCTTTTTGATATCTAACACTTGATCGCTCTCACTAAGATCAAAGTCGAACGTTGAGCCAAACTGCCCAAGCCTAGTGTCGACGAACACTTTCATAACTGATGAACGGAGAGAACTTTACAGTTACGTACGTGATGATAATTTGTAATGCGAGTTTGATTTAAATCAAGTAATTCCACGTATCAAATGGGTTACGTGTCCCTTAAGTAAAGAGTCTTAACCGTCAACAACTCTGCTTACTATAATGTGTTGGAAACAGTTTTTGACACTGTGATCTTTTCGAATTTTTCGGTAGTTTTTCCGGTCAAACCAGTCGTTGTGTTGATCAGTCTCTTATATCATTGGAAAGCTTGTAACAAGTACTACAATTTGATATATTGAAACGTCAAAAATAGATTTAAATTGAATGAGAAATGATGTTAAGAAGTGGGCAACTTAGTGCAAATAAACACACAGAAAAGTTGTTTAAGTGACTAATGTCACTTTGCCCCACATCGGGCAAGTTAAGCATTAGAGAGCAATATATATATATGCCCTTGTGCTATCAATGCTTGAATGGCTCAGAGAGAGATGGCTCCCAGCGCGCTGCCGCCGTTCGGCTGGCCCGGCTCGGCTTGGGTGTTGGGCCGTCATGCCAGCTCGGCTTGGGTGTTGGGCCGTCATGCCAGCTCGGCTTGGGTGTTGGGCCGTCGGCCTGATATGTAGTTATTTTTATGGACCCAGTTAAGTTCAATGCTTTGCCATTTAAACTTCAAAAAACAGCATGTAATTTTATTTAAAATGATAAGTAGTTTTTTTAACAATTAAAAAAACGTCACGCTGTTTATTTCTCGCCAAATATTTTAATAAAAGGGAGAGAGCGTGTTTTGGGGGATAAGTTTTCGTAACTTAAATTTCTCGAGATCTTTTCCAAATCTCCACTAACGAGCACACGTTACAAGAAATTGCTCCTCGTCTCCTCTTTAAATATCGTCTCTCCACTTTCTTCATTCTTAACCTTTTCACGCAAGAAAAAACCAGCAAATCTCCCAGACTAAGTTTAGAGAGTGTTTAGTAGAAATATTAGTTCGTCAGAGACGTTCACGAGTGAAAGCGTGAATCATCTATCATGGTTTTATCATGGGGCTCTAATTCGTACAAGTCCGTCTCACTGCGGAGCGAATATTAAGAGTTAAGGAAAGAGATTCGTCTCGACTCCATGCCGGTTTTTATAAAACGTTTTCATAATCAGTTTCATATCGTCTTTCCAATCGTTTATTTCCTTAACATCGTTTTTATTTATATCGCTTCTGTCAATTGGTTTTTCCGGCTCTTACATAATGATCCAGCGGTTAATGATAAGCATTCTTTCGAGTACGATACAACATGCAATGTTTGAAACGCAACGTTTTTCAGAAAAAAGAAAGATAGATAGTTCTTACCCATGAGTACTAAGTAACGAACCCTAGTCTACTGACACCGTTAGGCACAATACAGATCAAGAAAGACCGACGATACTCAGAATTAATCACAAACCGGGAGAAACCGAGAACATATATCTTTAGCACGAACCCATCGAAGAAGGACAACACTCAAAAGAGACGAACCTAGAAGATCATAAAAATCTGAAGCATAAGATCTCCCGAACGACTAAACTACACCTACACCACAGAACCTAAACAACTAAAAAGAGGGACTGAATGCTAGCCACATAACCATACATTTCTGAACCATAACATGCAAGAAGGCGATTAGAAACACAACCAAGAGAGGAGTCAAATGACGAGAACCCTTACGTTGGGATATTGAATTCCAAACATGGTGCCTTCGAGACCTATACATTTGGAATGACCAAATAGAGAGATAGGAACCTCGCTAAGCTCAACCTTCAAGAACCAGAGGACTGAGTCGACTGACCAAGACCCATCACACAGATCAAAGCTCCTGAAGACAATCGTAATCTTAAACCCATGTCAAGTCATATAGAAAATCAACGTTGAGCCCTTACAAAAAACACTCAACATGAAAGCAAGACCAGGAAGAAGTTGACAAACGGTTTTGAATTCCAGAATTGATCATTCTTTTATATTGAAAAATTATCCAATAGGATTGTCCCCTTTTGCCACGTCAGTGAAATTGCAGATTAATCACTCGGGTTTTATTTCTTTCACTCTGATCCTAAAGGCTGAAATGATGCAAAATGACCTTTATTTTCGCTCAAACTTCTCAATTGTGCATCTTAGACCCTGTCAAATTAATGCAATAAAAAGACATAAATGCAAACTAGAATAATCATAATAAACTAAAATATGAATCTAAAACTCATCAAAATCAAGAGATATCACTGGGTTTTTGTAAATTAATATATTTTATAATTTTTAACAATCTTTGTATTTTTTTAAATAAAATATTTAGCAGACATATGGAGATATTTTACTTTATTCCAGTTTATGTATCATTTTTTTTTAAATATTAAACATTTTCTTTGTAATATACATTTTAATTATTTGATTCCGTAGTAATGTATTTATATGGTTAACACAAAGAAATCAAAACCGTTTATTGATGCTGACACACTATAAAGAAGGTGAACTAAAATAATATATATTTATTAATCATTGGTATAACCATTTTGTTTTATTTTTTTTTCTTTTCACAGTGGAGAAGATTGATTTACATACGTTTAAAGAATATTAGTTACGTCAATTACATGATGATATGAGATAATGAAACTGAACTTATAGAGCTAATGTAACTTAGTTTAAGAAATATTTTTTTCAAAAAAGGAAAAAAAAAGTGACAAACTAATTGAGAACAAATGCTCAAATATACAAACATGAACAAATTGTGGAGGCACCGTAGTCTAGTGGTTAAGATTTAAAGGCTTCTACACCAGGCATGGGGTTCGAATCCCAGACTACGCAGTTTCTACATCAAGAGGGTTTCAATTCCCGTAGAAGGTGAATGGTGAATTATGCAGATTGGAGAAAAGACTTACAAGAGATTTTCAGCATGGCGCAAGGTGTACCGTCAAGAATGGATCTCATAGGGCGGCTCAAGGTAATGCAGTCAGACGTGAATCCGCATAAGGCAAGTAGAGTTGTCGGCTCTAATATCGTCTATGTAATATTTCTCATAGTTTGTAATGCATAATTATCCAGTGTTAAAAAAAAACATGAACAAATCATGGAAGATAAAATTTTGAGCACGCACGTGTTTGTTAATTTTGAATATTTTTTATTTATTTATTGAATACTGAGTATACTAGCAATTTTTTTTGTCATTCTACTAATATTTTAACTCATTTATTTGTTTTTTCTATGATCCAAATAGAATTACACGTAGATCCACTAAGATAAAGCCTCTTATTTATATTACAAATAACTTGATAGCCAACAAGAAAGGTAAAGCCTCGTATTTATATTCCACTAATCTTCTGCTCCGTAACTGCCATCTCAGACCCTTCTTCTTTCTTCATTTGCTAGCTCGGCAATAGCTCAATAATAGTACAGATCTAGATCAAATTTTAAAATACTAAATATAACTCAAAGATTAAAAAAATTAAACTAATGACATTTTTTGAATGATAAATGACTTATATATATATATGGTCCTTGTGCTCTCAAACTCTCCTAGGCACGTTTCTCGAAGAAGGTCTTTAGCCGCTGGTTTTTAAGTGTTCCCTTTAGTTGACTTTCTTCTTTTGGTAACGGATCTAGCCGCTGGTTTTTAAGTGTTCCCTTTAGTTGACTTTCTTCTTTTGGTAACGGATCTACTGGCCTTTCCTTCCCTTTCCAAATACCCACCTCTTTTCGGAAATTGTCTAGCGGTCCTTGGCTCTGCTTTCTTACCCTCCGGTCCGTGCCGGCTCTCCACCGGAGATCTCCCTCTCTTCCGATCACGAGCCTCCTCCAGCTCCTCTCAGAAGAAGGCCTACACCTTACTTTGATGCAGCTCCACTACTAGACACGCTAATGGGGTAGAGTCGACTTAAACTCCTCTACACAAGCTTTTGTCACAACGGTCTTACTCCTTCCTCTGTGCTGCCCTTCTCAGATCTTTATCACACCTTAGTCTTGCTTTACACCACCTCCTAGAATCTCATGGCTCCTCGACGTTACTCAGAGGAAGAAAAAGGGAAAAATATTGTCCAAGATTCAGACAGCCAACACATTAAGCGTGTTAGAGCACCGGTTATTGACACTTCCTCTCTCATCAGAGACAACGCTCTGACCCTCATCGGAAGGGTGGTAAACCCAAAGGAACAACCAATCAGTGCTCTTGTTTTGGGTCTGCCACGTAAATGGGCTCTTAGAGGGAATGTTCTGGGAGCTGACCTGGGTCACTCTTGTTTCCAGTTCCGTTTCGAACTTGAGGAGGACCTTGTCAAGGTATTAGCCAATAGACCTTTCTATTATAATCACTGGATGGTTATTCTCCAAAGATGGGAACCAGTTATCTCCCCCCTCTTTCCCTCGCAAATCCCTTTCTGGATCCGACTTCAGGGACTGCCACTTCACTTTTGGCATGAAAAAATGATCTACAACATTAGTCATGATCTAGGCACTTTGGAGGATTATAAGATCTCAAAAACCTCTGCCAGAATAAGAGTTCTCCTCGAGGCTCCGTCCTCTCACAAAGAAAGCCTTTGTGGATTTTGACTCGGGAGAGGAGATCCTTATCTCCCTCGAATATGAAGATCTAGAGTACCACTGCTCCAACTGTAATATGCTAACGCATCTCTCCAGAAACTGCCATGAGCTTTTGGCTGCCTCACGAAGATCTAACCCCACCTCGGGTCCTTCGGCCACATTCTCTGCAACCATTGTACCCTCAGAACGTCAACAAGACTAGGCTATAGTTGCTGCGCAGAGACCCACTGACACTAACTTCAGAACTAGAGTGGACCGCCATGGAAAGCCCTTTGGAGACAGGCTTCCACTTCCCCCTGCTAGAGGACAGCCACTGTCAAACAAAATTACTCCGAATAACCTTGTGAGGCACCCTTCTAACGTGCATAGCAGAGACCGAAGGCCGAGGTCTTCAGATACCTCAAGACACCCCTACAGACAAGAGGAAAAGAGATCCCGAACTCACACTACTAACCCCTCAAACTCTCAGGGTACGCATAGAGAATGGAGAGAAAGACAAGTTACTCCACCTGTGAGACACGTAGACTCAATTACTCCAACTCCGGCGCCGGTCCACCAGATAGAAGACACTCCACAAGCTCCACTGGGAAGGAACTTAGATCTGTGTGACTTCCCCTCTCCACCAGCCAGACCCCAAACAAGGGACGAAGTGATGAACGATCTACACAAGGCTGCTCGCCAGTACGCAAATTGTGAGGACCCCGTTGAAAGTAATGCCAGAAGAGCTCGAATCCTCCTTAGTGAACAGAACGGAGATGTAGAGGCAGCAGCTGATAGCATTATGCTTGCAGCGTCTACAGCTTTGGCTGCAGGGGCCTCTAACTCGCAGTTCCTTCGTATGGAAACGACTAAGAACCTGCAGCTCCCTTCAGAGCACCTCTTTACTGATTCTCCAGCCGCAGTTCAACGTCCTATTCCAGCTGAAGCTCGAAGGCCTGCATCTCTACCAAGACCTAGGGGATACCACGAAAGATCAAGTAGGCAAACTCCCAGTCCCATGCAAGGCACGGGGGCCTCGTCGAAATTGAGAAAGTTCTCCCATAAGTCTCACTCCTACGCTACACATGGGTTCCCTCATTCCTCGCCGATACTTCCAATTCCATCAGGACATTTAGATGCAGCTCTAGGATCATCCCTGCCCCCTCTACCTACGACCTCTGCCTCTGCTGCCGGTGAATCCACCCAGGATTTTCGGCTAAACCAGCATCAGCTTCCTTAGTAGTTCTGAGCTGGAATTGTTGCGGTCTTGGCAACCCCGCAACAGTTCTGAGGCTCAAGGAACTGATGAACCAATGTTGTCCCGATATTCTCTTTATCTCTGAAACAAAGAACCAGGACGATTTTGTCCTCGGTGAGCTTGAGTCATTGAGCTTCGACAACAACTTTTTGTTTTCCCCCTTATCACCTGGATCAGGGGGATTGGGACTTTTCTGGAACTCTGATGTTAAACTCCAGGTTCTTTCATCCACGCAGAACTTCATAGACACTCTTATCTGCTACAAAGATACCTCCTTCAACAACACTTTTGTCTATGGTGCTCCTAAGCCCACCAATAGGCGAGCTGTTTGGGACCAACTGATGAGCATAGCTATTATCCGAGATACACCCTGGTTCCTAACTGGAGACTTTAACGAGATCATCTGCAACTCAGAGAAATCTGGGGGAAATGAGAGACCTGAAAGTTCATTTGCTACCTTTAGATCTTTCTTATCCTCTTGTGACCTTTTCGACTTAAAGCACACGGGTAATTACCTGTCTTGGAGAGGCCAAAGACACTTGCATCTAGTACACTGTCGTCTTGATAGGGCCATGGCAAACTCGAAATGGTCTGACCTGTTCCCCAGAGCACGCTCACACTACCTCAAATTTGAAGCTTCAGACCATCGACCTCTGATATCTACGCTGGATTTGAAGAAAAAGAAACCAGTAAGAATGGTTCGCTATGACAGGAGATTAAGAGATAATCCTGAAGTTGCAGCTCTGGTGGAAAAAGCTTGGAACTCGCCCACGAATGCTCATGTCTCTGAAAGAATCAAGCTATGTCGCCAAGCCATCTCAAAATGGAGTAAAGACTTTTATGTTAATAGCAAGAAGCAAATTGTGAAACTCAAAGGAGACCTAGATTTGGCTATGGCAGCGTCTTTACCTGAGGATGGTGCTATCTCAAACATCAACCACCAACTCCTCAAGGCCTATGTTGCGGAAGAGGAGTTTTGGAAGCAGCGAAGCCGACTCCTTTGGCTCACTCTTGGAGACCGCAACACAGGGTTCTTCCACGCTTCATCTAAAGGGCGTAGAGCTCGCAACAGAATATCCGTGTTAGAAAACAGCTTGGGTCTCCCTGTCTATGAGGAAAAGCAACTACTATCTGTTATCACAAATTATTTTGAGGAGATCTTTACCTCTTCTGGTGCCGCTGCGGAGGAAGTTGTTTGTGAAGCCCTTTCGCCGTGTGTGTCTTCGGAGACTAACGCACATCTCATTACCATCCCGTCACCAGAGGAAATCAAACAAGCTATGTTTGCTATCCATCCAGATAAAGCACCGGGCCCCGATGGCTTCTCGGCAAGCTTTTTCCAATCGAATTGGGATGTTGTTGGACCTGCAATAACTAGAGAAATTCAGAGTTTCTTTATTACAGGATCTCTGCCTACAACAATCAACGCAACTCACATTCGTCTGATTCCCAAAATTCAAGGCCTCCAAACAGTTGCAGACTACCGTCCCATTGCTCTCTGCAACGTGTACTACAAAACCATCTCCAAGATCCTATCGTTAAGACTCCAACCGGTCCTACAAGATATTGTCTCTGAGAACCAATCAGCTTTCACTCTGGGGAGAGCCATTGCTGACAATGTGCTCATTACACATGAGATGCTCCATTTCCTTAAGAACTCTGGCGCTGAAAAAAGATGTGGAATGGCTGTTAAAACAGACATTAGTAAGGCCTGTGATAGGCTTGAATGGAACTTTATTGGAAGTGTTCTGAAGAGACTTGGTTTCTGTGATACATGGACTCATTGGATGATGGCGTGCATTTCTTTTGTTACGTATTCCTTTCTGCTTAACGACGAAGTAGTAGGACACGTTACTCCCCAACGGGGTATTCGCCAGGGTGACCCACTATCTCCCTATATTTTCATAATTTGTGGAGAGGTACTGTCTGGTCTCTGCAAGAAAGCACAGGATTCAGGCTCTTTACCAGGCATCAGAATAGCAAGAAACAGCCCAAAGATCAATCACCTGCTTTTTGCGGACGATACAATGTTCTTCACTACCTCGGATGAGCTTCACTGCTCCACTTTGATGAAAATTCTCGGCGACTATGAGAGAGCCTCGGGTCAGAAAATAAATGTGCTCAAATCTTCAATCACCTTCTCCAGCAAAACATCTATAGAGGTCCGAAATAGAGTTAAACTTCAGCTTGGTATTGAGAAGGAGGGAGGGGTGGGAAAGTACCTTGGGCTCCCTGAGCACTTTGGTAGGAAGAAAAAGGACCTATTTGCCTCTATTGTTGATCGGATGCACCAACGCGCCATTGGATGGTCAACTCGCTTCCTCTCTACCGCAGGGAAAGCAGTCATGCTGCAAGCTGTCCTCTCTGCAATACCAAATTTCGCAATGTCATGCTTCCTTCTCCCCCTCGGCTTATGCAAGAAGATTCAATCTGAGCTTACCAGGTTCTGGTGGGACTCAAAAGCAGGGGAGAGGAAGATATGCTGGGTGTCGTGGGACAAACTCACTCTCCCAAAGGCCCTTGGAGGGTTGGGTTTTCGCGACATTCAGTTGTTCAACCAAGCACTCCTAGCAAACATAGCATGGCGCATCACCACTTCCCCCGATTGTCTTTTCTCTAAGATCATCCTACGAAAGTACTGCCACAAGACCCCTTTCCTAAAGGTCACTGAGAATTCTTCAATCTCCCATGGATGGAGAGGAATACTAAAAGGGCGAGATCTACTCCTGCAACACATCGGGAAAGTTATTGGTGATGGAGAGACAACAAGTATCTGGAATGATTCTTGGATAGACCCCAAAACTAACCTGAAACCACATGGACCAGTGTTCACCAGTGACACAGATCTCATGGTCGCGGACATCCTCACGAGGGAAACTAGAGATTGGAACCTGCAATGTATCAACACACTTCTCCCTGAATTGGCTGACCACATATTGCGAATCAAACCAAGCATTTTGGGAACACATGACTCCTATATTTGGCCTCTTACAAGTGCTGGCTCCTACTCTGTCAAGTCTGGTTACTTCTCGCTGCAACAAAACACCTTTAGGGAACTTCCAATGGGTACCGTTAATTGTGATTGGAAGAAGAACATATGGAACCCACCACTACTCCCCAAGATAAAGTTGTTTCTATGGAAAGCATCCCACGATGCGCTACCCTCGGGAGACAACCTTGCTCGTAGAGGTATCCAGATAAACACATGTTGTAAAAGATGTGGTGAACAAGAGACGATCGATCACATCTTATTCCATTGCAAAGTAGCAAAGGACATTTGGCTGTCTTCTCTCTGGGCTAATAATCTCTCTATCACCCCTGATACCTCCTTTGTCCCTGCTCTTATGGAATCTCACCGATGGAAGCCCCTTCCTCCTCTGGGTATTCAAGGGAACCTCTCCCCTTGGCTTTGCTGGAATCTCTGGATATCGAGGAACAAATTGCTCTTCGAAAACCGCCTAGCTACACCTCAGAGTATCATTCTCCAGGCGATCTCCTCGATGAGAGAATGGGAATCTGCTCAACTCAATAGTACCTCAGCTGCCCTTCAAAAGACCCCACAGACTCGGTTGTCGCGACCTCAGATAACCTCGACTTCGAACCCAATCACTTACTGTAACACGGATGCTGCTTGGAAGCTACGATCTGCAGGTCTGGCGTGGATCTTCTCTGAGGGGGACAACTATGAGCTCTCCCACAAAGCCATCTCCCTTAATCACGTCTCTTCGCCATTAATGGCCGAAGCGCTAGCCATCAGAGGGGCGCTTATGGATTCAGCCTCACTCAACATCACCAATATGTGTCTTCGCACAGACTCTCAAGTGCTTGTTCAAGCAATCACCCGGAGGAAATGGACGATGGAACTCTACGGGGTTCTTTCCGATATCGACTCTCTCGCCTTCTCCGCAACTTCCCCTTTTTCTTCCTGTGTTTTTTCTTTCGTCTCTCGTTCCTTGAATGGGCCTGATGATTTACTCGCAAAAGCCCAATTATCTTTCTGTATTAACCCTAATGTTGGGCCTGTCTAAACTTTGATCTCCCTTTAATGAAATCCTTTGTTGCACAAAAAAAAATGACTTATTCTCTCCCATGTATATTGACATATTGCCATACTATAATTTTATATCATTACATACAGACACATATTCCAAGTCAAATGTTGAATCCAAGATATTAACTTAATTTACATAGTAATAACGATTTTTAATAATAATTTATCTTATAGTTTTTGTAAACACGCTAGAGACTGCTTCCCTCTCATAGAAATATATAATAAGTATATTTATGAAATGAAAAATATTGCAAAATTATAGTATACTTTATAGCAAAGGAAAAAAAATTGTGAAATTATATATGAGAATAATTTGATTAGATCAGGATACTAATTAAAACTGCAAACATATTTAGAATATCTCTTAAACATTAAGCATGTTCATTTTCCCTTATTATTGTAAACGGTAATCATAAGAGTTAAAGATCAAATATAAAATATTTCTAATAATATTGTAATGGCTCAATGTTAATAAAAATGGAAATTAATGTTTGTACATAAATTGTAAACTCATTTTAGAATACAAAATATATGGTAAAGTTACTTGTACGGTGAAAAATTTCAAAATTTACATTTGTTTCGCAAAGATAATCGTTTTATGTTTTGAATGTAAGATTATAAATTATTTAACCATTTTAACCATATTGATTAAAATAATTACATTATATAATAATTTATTTTTGAACATTATAGATAAAGTAGGTAAATAAATTTTGATATCATAACTTTTATCACTAAATTATGTGAAAATTAAAAAAAAAAAGCTACAGTTTTGTAAATATAATGTTTATATGGTATAAAGTAAAAAATAACTAAGTTAGTTATACTCCAAAATTACAGAAAAGAAAGAAAAGATAAATTATAAAAATAATGAAAATTATTGAAAAAATAAATACAATCAAACAAGGCCATTTATGTAGTAAACATAAATTAAATTAAAATACATAAACCGCGCGTAGGTCGGTGAAAAGATCTAGTTTTACAATTTTAAAATGGGAACTAGGTGACTGGCCCGCACCATGTGCGGGCATATAATATCTAAAAAAATAAAATTACAGTGTTAAAATTTAGAAGTTGTGAGAGAGAAAAGTTATTGTGTTTAGTGATTCCGGGCGATGGAGTGGGTTTCCACAGCCACCGTCGGTCTGGCTTTAGATTGTCCTTGGTTTTATTTCTCGTTTATAGATCTTTGGTAGAGAAGGTTTGGTGTATCTCTTGTTTCGGTTTCAACAGGGTGATGTTTTTATTCTGGGAGGCAAAAGCATATACAGATCTGTCGAAGAGTGTATCTACATTAAGGTTTTTTCAATTTTGGGTTTCGGGCCCATGTCAGTTTTTATTGTAATGTCCTTTTGTTATGGGTTTTGGTAATCGCGTATTTTGGGCTTTGATCCTTTATTAATCAAATTAAGATGTCAAAAAAAAAATTTAGAAGTTGTGTATCCTACTATATTGTCAATAAGTGAAATTGTGTAGTATATAAGTCTTTTATTTAGAAGTTAACTAAAACTTGTCGGTATATCTCATTTGTCCTTAGCTTTCTTTGTTTTGCAAATATTTTGCCTTGAACCGCATGTAACTATCTTTATTGATTGTTTAATTAAATTGTATTTCAAAATTTACAGAAATAGATAGTATGATAATATAGCTTCTTTCAACTATTTATTAGGTGTTAATCAAAAAGTAATTGCAAGAGATATAATGTTATTTTCTTTGAGAAAATAGATAATAATTAAAGCCAATAAAATAAGAAACCAAATCCAAGAAATAACAGTAAGTGAACTGATGTTCAACAAAAAAAGAATAGATTCTTCTTCCATTTCTCCAGCTTCACTTGCTTTTGATTTTTTTAGAGTGTTTTTTGTTGACAGAGAACTGATCCACAACAGCATTGTCTCGCGCTCTTATTGGCTTCTTTTTTTAGACAAAAGAGTTGGTAAAAACCACAAGAACCCTCAGATATTTCCTTTAAAATTGCAACAATAAAACCTTTTGAAGAGAAAAGAGATTTGAAATGAGATCTCTTGCCAATGTGGATGTAAACATTTTAATATTAAACAATGTGAAATCGGTTTAGGAGGCAATGCTGCAAACTCTTATCTTAGCATTCCAGAAGTTTTGTAGCGAATCTCACCACATATGAAAAAAGTCAAGCATATTGCGATTGTTCTCCACAGTGCTGATCCTCAACATCATTGCCTCACTTTTATTGGCTTTTTCTGTTAGAAAAAGGAGTTGTTGAAGAACCACCCCCCCCCCAAACCCTCAGATATTTACTCTGAAGACTGCAACATTAAAACCTTTTGAAGAGAAAAGAGATTTGAAATGAAATCTTTTGCCAACGTGGTTGTAAACATTTTAATATTTTTCTAATAATAAGAATAGTAACGGTTCAAGAGGCAAAGTTAAAAATGATTTCATTTCTTACTTCTTTATCAACAAATACCATTTCAATAGTGTCTCCGGTCTCTTTTGCTATAATTCTTTCATAGACGAATAATCCCAGCTTCAGATATACCATGAATCTGTTTGAACCATTGCCATTGTTTTTTTTTTTTTGAATTATCAACATAGCTTTAATGTTTGTAGCGTAAGACCCGGCAAACTTTATATATTCTCCAACTTTCACGTTTGAGAGTTATTACCATAATATATTTATATGCCTTATACTAAACTTCCAAAGATATATACATTAAAATGGCGAAGGAGTTTGTGGGAATGCATTACTAAATTAATATAATGTGGTTCGCAATAATTGCATATATGAACTGTCACAAGTAATTTAGAACAAAAAGAATGTTAAAATTTAAGGAATTAACTAATAACGAATATTTAGAAAAAATTAAATACAAATAAAATCACATTTGTATTCGAACATTTAATGTATAGTAGTAATATTTACGAATTAAAGTTTAAAAGTAAAAATGAATATCACCTAGATTAAAACTAATCATGAAACATTTTAGAGAAAAATATTATAGCTATATTGCTATAATTAGGTTTACAATAATTTCTAAGTGAACTATCGCAAGCAATTTAGCACAATAAGAACTAATAACAATTCATGAATTAATTAATAATGAACATGTTGAAAAATGTACATTTAATGCAATACCATTTAAGACTTTTATACTATATAGTAGCAATTACGAATTAATGACCAAGTAATAAGGAATCTTACATAGACTAGATGCATAGTCCCCGCGCAAGCGCGGGGTTTGGATACATTGTTGATGTGTTGTGTAGTTTTGTGTATGAGACTTTGCTGTTTTTTTAAAAATATTTGTTTATCTGGTTTATCTATAATGGTGATGAATGAAACATTAGAAGTCACACAACTTGATTAGTCTGATAAAAGAATAAACATCAAATTCATATGGGTTGATATTTTAATATTTTCTCTTCGTAGTGATTTTATCGAGCATTCCCTTTATTGGTGATTTTATCGAGCATAACTGTTATTAGTGCTTTCATGTAAAAAAAAAAATTTAATGGAGAGAAGACAAAAAAAGACATGTGTTTATTAGTGTAATTTTCTTTCTGAAATTATGTTGTATATATATATATATATATATTTTTTAATTGTGATGTATATGAGATTTATGGCCGATCTGAATGGTTCGGGGTAAATATTTATTATTGAAAAATATGTTTTTATTTTATTTGATTATTATAACTGAATTGAAATGATATTGGAGGTTAGAACATGATAACATTTCTTATAAAAGTATCTAAGATGGTCTCATAAAGTTTCAAATCCTTAAGTCATTTTGTATCCCAACAACCAGCATAAAAAATCATTCTGAATCTCCCTAAGCTTTTAGGTATCCCGAAAAGCCCAAATTAAAAAAAAAATTACATGCAAGCACTGCGTTTCGAACCTGCGCACTCGCGGTACCAACTTCTAGTCACCAACTTACACCACTGGACCATTTCATCACTCATCGATAACATTTAATCTTACAAAATCTTATACGTTTTTGTTTTTCCTAATAACACATGTGGGGCCCGTAAACTTGCTGAGGTGGATAGCCTTAGGAGCTTCAAAAGTGAATCATTATAATATAGATTTGCATATATTTTTGTTATACGAAAATTATAGTTTGATATTGGTTAATTAAATGTACACTTAATTAATATTTCCGAAGAAAATCATATCATATAGTTTGACTTTGGTAGTTATACAGATTTTTCAACTGTATTTAAAATTAATTAAAATTAATTAATTACAATTCCAAAGCTTATTATAATAATTTAAAACATCTGATAAGGTAATATAAATAATTTATAAATTTATCTATAATTTTATAAATGATTTATAAAGCATGCATGAAATTTATTAAACATTAATAGTTATTATGATACTTTATATACAAATATAAGGCTTTCTATACGAGTATAAAATCATTATATCAATTCAAATAAAAAATTTTGTTTATTATTTTATGTAATTTATAAATATATAAAAAAATTGATCACATTATTACTCTTTCATAGTTTCAACAATTAGTTACCATAAATAATTATCTCTTAAATTAAGTAGATTATTTGGAAAGTTGTAACTGAGTTATCCTTAAGATATAATTATAATAAATGAAATTAAAAATTATCGGCCAATCAAATTATAACAATTTGAAGAGTTCATTTATGCACGTAATAAAAAATCACTAATGTTATTTCTCAATCAATATATAGTAGGTTTTATCTTTTTATAAATAATTTATAACATCTTATAACTTATTTTAAAATTCAGATAAATTTATTCTTTAAACAACGCTAAATAATTTTAAAATAATATTAATAAAGATGTTTGATTTTTGTAATATTTAAAATAGTTATTATATAATTATATTCGAATACAATTCATCAAGTAGAGTATAAAACTATTATAATTATCTTATATAAAATTTTGCTCATTATATTTTATACTTTATAAATATTAAAACTAATAAATAAAACATTATTAATCTTTCTATAATTGCGAGAATTAGTTTCCATAAATTGTCATTTGTAATATTCTTTAGATTATATGGCAAGAGATGTTAAATGATTTTAGACTTACCTTAAATTTTTAGATCTAAATTAAATAAATAAAAATTAAAAACAATCGACCAATCAAATTATAACAATTTCTTGAAACTTCACTTATGAACGACACGACACCAGAAATCACTAAAGTGACTTCTCTTTTAATATATAGGAGGATATCTTTAACTCTCAAGCCCTCCACGTAGGATAAAAATTCCACCAATCAGAAAACTCTAAATTGATAAGTCATTTAAAAAGAAAACAGATACCCAGATTACTATTCTCTCACTTTTTACACGCCTTGGTCTTCAATCATCTCTCCTTGGTCTTCTTCCGCTTCGTATGCCTATGCAAAAAAAATGAGAGGTTTAATTTACAAGATGGTCATTGTAGGTACCAGTGGAAGAATGAGAAATATCGGTCAATGGAAGAACGGGACAATGAATGGTAAAGGGACGATGATATGGAGCAACGGGAACCGTTACGATGGGTCTTGGGAAGACTCTGCTCCTAAAGGAAACGGTACGTTTGGTTGGTCAGATGGGAGTTTTTATGTTGGAGTTTGGAGTAAAGATCCTGAAGAACAGAACATGACTTATTACCCGACAACAACGTCAGGGAACTTCGAGTGGCAACCACAACAAGTGTTTTGTGTTGATTTAAGTGAGTGTGTGGTTTGTACTTGTCAGAGAATCCCGGTTTTGCCTTCTCAGAAGATGCCGGTTTTGTACGGTTCTTCTGAGCAGAGTAGTAGTGGGAACATGACTAAGAGTAGTGTCATCAGTGAGAGGCCGAGGAGGAGATCCTTTGATGGGAGAGTTAGTAATGGTGAGATGGAGTTAAGGAACAATGGTTCTGGTTATCTTCAGGTTGATGATACAGAGAGTAATAGATCATCACCGTTAAGGCCTTTGAGAATAAGACCTGCTAAGAAACAAGGACAGACTATCTCTAAAGGACATAAGAACTATGACCTCATGCTTAACTTGCAGCTTGGGATTAGGTAAGTGTTTGTGATTGAAACTGATTTTGTGTGTGTGTGTGTGTTTGTTTGATGTTTGATCATTTTTGTTTCTTTTTTTTTTTTGTAAGACATTATGTTGGAAGACCAGCTCCAGCTACGTCTCTTGATTTGAAGGCTTCTGCGTTTGATCCAAAGGAAAAAACTTTGGACTAAGTTTCCATCTGAGGGATTGAAACCAAACTGAAGAGAAGGCTTCAAGTAGAGTTCCATTGATGGGCTCTTGCTACAATTTATGTATGGTCTTCACATTTTCTTATTTCTCATGAAATCTAATTCAAGTTCTCTTTCCTTATGAAGTTTGCAATCTTTTGTGTTCTTAGAGGTTATGTTGGTTTAGTTAACGGTCTAAGCAATGAGAATGCTTCTCTTCTTCCATGTGGTTCTCATTAGAAAGATAACTCTTGCAGTCTCCTACCCATAAAACTATCAGAATAACTATGCTTTAGATTTTGTAGTTTAACCTGTAGTGCTCAAATACTTGCAAGGAATGGGGATGAGAACACATGACTATACATTAGCAATGAAGGAGGATGATAAGTTTACAGACATAGACACTTTTGATGAGTTAGATTCATCTTCAGATGAATGCTCCAATATGTTGACGCATCAGAAGGAAGTGTGTCTACGGAGATACGGAGTTACAACAATTCAAAGATACTACAAAAAAAAGAAGGGAAAATAAGTGTCAGTGAAGTAAACGAATTAGTTCAACGAAAAAGGTAAAATCAGCAGTAGAAAACATGTCCACTACTTCATACGGACGAGGTTGCCCACGCCCATGGGGTGATCTTTACTGTATTACACACAATTTTGAACTCCCAATTTAAATGCATTTCTAAATAAGATCAACCTAGAATATTTCCTACTTACAAAGCTCACCGACAATCCAATACACTAATCCAAACAGAAGGCATCAAAATAAAAATTTAAGTTAAGTTCATCTCGGTCAAATACTCAAATGCCAAAAGTAATGCCACACTAGAACACTTATTTAAAACCACGCAACAAATATCGGTCCCATATATCAACAAGTCTACACGACGGGGCAAATACAACCTTTATATCCTGATGCATTGAGACGAGCACACCTAAACATTCTAAAATTCAGCACTCACCAATAGTAACAAATTCTCGAATCATATTCCTCTTAGAGAAAATATTAAATAATTAGGATCTTTCAGGTAAAATATCGGTTAGCATGATAATTTGAAATTTTTTAGAAAATATTATATTAAAAACTTAGGTTATAAACAACATTTTAGGGTATTTTGCTATTTCCGAAACTAAATATAATTAATATTTTTAAGTAGAAATTGTAATTTATAAATCTTGATGGATTCCAAATCAGCTAACATAATGGATTCAACTCTGTAAAATGACCCTAACTATGGGTGGGTGCGGAGCAGACATCCAGAATTTAAGGGTATTCGTGATACACTTTGTATGGATAATCATTTTTTCGATTTGATCTAACATATTTTGGATATTCAAGGTTTCTGGTATCTGAAAAATAAGTATTTTTTTTATCAGATATCCGAGTCAGTCCATAAAAATAATAAAATAAAAAATAAAATATTTAATATAATATTATTTCTTTACAATTTTTTTTAAGAATTACATATTTTTAACGATTATAATAACTAAATAAGTAATTTAGTGAATAAAGATATTATAAAAATTCTAAAAATATATAAAATTATATAATTTTATATATAGCTGTATATATATATATATATGTAACTGATCATTTCGGATATGTCTTTTTGAAAATGTTAGTATTTTTTATATGTTTCGTCTTTAACGGATATTGAATAATAAATATTTTATTTGTTTCATAAATTTACGGATATCTAATTTTTGAGTCAAATCGAAACAAATAGCATATCAAATAAATTTTCGTGGATAATTTTCCCATCCCGAACCCTAACTGAACCACGTGGTTATAACAAAATAAGTAAATGAAACCACAAAAAATACAAATTAAACTTAGCCTCCTAAAACCACCTACTCACTGTACTACTTAATTTGGGTAACGAAAAATGAATATTATTGAAGTTAGAGTTATTAAAAGACCTATAAACTGCAGCAAACAAAACTATAACTCTTACTGCCATCAACGACGCTGTTTTAAAATTCTCACCTCCAGCGTCACATATGATGCCAATAAAAGATTACACCATCACCTTCAAACATGTTATTCTAATTTTTAAAAAATCACATATCGATTTTCTGTTAATATGAACTGACAACACATCAAATTTTAGACAGTTGCAAAGCATAATAAACGAAAAAATAAACTAATCTAAATAACAAAATTAATCCAAACTATGTAAAGATAAAAATATTTTTTCCACATGTGTAATTTTTAGGGAAATTTCACCTAGTGACTACGAAAAAAAACAAAATTAACTAACTAACTAAAATCATATCCTCTCTCCTCTTCTTTCTTCCTATCTCTCTCTAACTTCTCTCTAGAAAACTAATTATTCTTATTTTTATGGTTATTTCACAAATAACCCCTAATTTTTATAACTAATTTTGTAAGCAATGCACAAAAGATATTATTCACCTCAACATCATAAATAAGAATTAACTTTGGTGTCAACATATGTTAATAGTATGTTCAGAGGATCATGTGAAATCAAATTAAACCACTTATAAACAGTATGAAAACACAAAATTATAGAAAACAAACGCTAAAGTTGCCAAGAAAAGAACATTAAAAAAAATTTAAGATAATATTTTCATATGTTTTCTGTTCTATAGCTTTTACGGTTTGTTTTTTTTTTTCCAAATTATATGGAACTATTTAAAGTAAACTAGCTACAATAATATGAAAACATAGTACATAATCCGCGCGTTAGGATAATGTTTCCACAATGTGTCAAAGAGAATTAGTGTTTTTTAATATATCAAAGTTGATTTTTAATGATAATACAGTCTGTGAAAGAAAAACACAGAGACAAAGAGTTATGTTATAAATATATTCGATGTCATGTTTTGATAAATTAAAAATATTATTTAAAATTTTATAAATATATTCGATGTGATAGTAACATTTTGAGACATAATTATTTATATTGATTACTTTGTCTCTTTTGTTTTGGATTTTTTTTTTTTTTTTGCTGGCTTTATATACCTGGACTGATATAAAAATTGTTGGATACATTTGCATAAAAAGATATGAACTCCACAATTAGGACATCAAAATATAACTTGTTAACTTTAATTATTTTTGTTATAGTTTCCTTATATTTTGCTTATATTTTTATATAGTATACTTGTTTTGCAAATTCTATGTCTTACATTAGTTTTTGTTATTTTATGCATATACTTATCATACTTTTATAACTTTTTTTTTAAAGATAAATCATTAAATTTAGTTGAGAATTATGTAAAATATATATATATATATTACTCTCTACGTTTCACAATATATGTAATTTTATTGTTTTAGAGAAAACTTTATTGTTTTTGGCATTGACCCAAATCTGAATTAAAATCTGAATCAAATGTTATCTTTCTTCTTTTGAAGAATATAACATTTTCTTTGTTTGCAATAACAAAGTATTACTAGGTGATTTTCCCGTGCTCATGCACGGGTATGAATATTCATAAAAGTAAAATATTATAATAACTGATTGATATTTAGTTTTAGCTTTGAATAAATTTATATGTATAATTTATATTAATAAATATTATATTATTCTAATTATACATATCACTATGGATCTATTATTTTCGGTTTAATTATTTTTTGGATCAATAGTCATTATGGTTATCAATTTGGTATATTGGATAATATCTATTTTTAGAATTCAGCTATAATATTTTTATTCTAAATATAATAAAACTTTGATTAATTTTCTTATTTTCATTTCGGTTGGTTATTGTCTTAGATATGTAAATATATTATAGTTAAATTATGTATAACTTAATA